GGAAAAAAAAAAGAGGTGAAGAAGATAATATAAAAGGATAAGAGTCTGGAAAAGAACTGGAGAAAAGCATGTGCAACTGCAAATCGTTTATGTTCACTGGCATGGCGCATAGGGAGTAGCTGTATCTAAGTTATATCCAGGCCATTTGTCATTGCAATTGCATTAGCTTAAACAAGCCTATATTTTTTTGACTTATTTATTCGCACGTTTATATTTTTTTGACTTATTTATTATTTAGATTAATTCATATACGTTGATATTTTATGTTTATTTTCAGCAAGTTAGAGTATTTCTTTGTGAATGATGAAGTTGTTGACGGGAGTTCAAGTAGCATTCATCGGGGTGCTCGAAAACCGGATCAATTAAGGCCCAACCGAAGAGAAAATTAATGACCACGACCTATTGGGCCATAATACTTGGACACCTAATAAGGCCCACTTAGAATTTATTAAAGGAGACTTAAGTTTAGAATCTAATAGATCAGAAGGCATGGTGGGGTCCAGCAATAGGAAGACTAATTGGGAGACTTAGAAGCACTCAAACGGCTTGGGATTATATTGTGAAGACTAGTCTTATGGGATTTGAATGGGCTGAGGAGAATTGTGGTTTATTTGGGCCCACAACTGAGTAGAATTGGGATTATGGGAGAACTCTCCCCAGTGGAGACTCACGCAACATATATTGGAAAAGTGCGAGGGACGCTACGGAGGATTTTATTTTGAAGACACAGGAAAAGAACGCAGCGAAAAAAAGACACGCATGGAGCATCACCGAGACTCACGCACCGGGAAAGAGGCTAAACACGCGAAGGGAAGTCGTAATCGCACACGAGGGAGATATTTTTATCTTCTCTCTTTTATCTATCTATTATCTCTTTTTATTAGTCTGTTAGAGTAGGATTTTTATCCAGTTTGAGGGATGTTTGAACCCTAATTCTTATTTGTTTATGAATTTGATGGTCTCTATTTACCGTTAGTTAAAAACTTTGACTAGGGTGAAGCCTTTATCATCAGGGGGGTCACCTCAATCCCTTGAAAATGAGTCACTCTACCCATCTTTGATGGAGAAGAATTGTCTCAATTGAGCAATGGTATCTTCAAGCTGCTTCTCATTTGATCATGTGATTATGTTTTTATATTTATTAAAAGTTATGGTAAAAAAATAACTAATTAAAATAATAAAAGTAGCAAATGGAAGTTCCTATTAAATATTATATTGATGTTTAAAAAAAAATACAAAATTAACTTATGAGATTAATTTTTATTGAAATAAAAATGTAAAATAAATCACTGTGAGAAATGTTGACAATTTCATACATTTTACATTCAATGCAACACAACCCTTCACATGTTATCATTAAATTAGGCAAATAAATATTTTATCAAGATAACAAAACGCCAGTTGAATGTTTGATTTAATTTCATTTTTCTATATACTTTTCATCACTCAATTTTGCTATGGACAAATTACCCGCTTTCCTCTCCACTGATTGTCGAGTGACTCGAGTCTTGACCATTAGCATCCACATCTTTCAGCTCAATCTCATTCTCAGCATAAACACACAGCTTACTCCTGTCAGTGTGTGTTCTTTTTGTTGCTTAAAAGCTTCCGACCAATGGCGGCCCGGAAAATATCTGCCGCCTCTGCCAGGACCCATACCCGCGGACCCAAGGCAACAGCTGCTTCAAAATTCTCAGGTAGAAAGTATTTTAGACCCATACCCAAGGATTAGGTTTGACGAGTATTTTAGGCTGCCATTAATGTAATTGCAACTTGCTATTCTTTGTTCTGCTGCTAGAAAGTAGGGATTTGTTTTCCTCCTTTTCTAGTTCGTTCTTGAAAAAACAATTGATAAGATTTCCAGAATATTTGTTAGATTTGTCTTTCGAGATGCAATAATTCATGGACAGATTGAAAATTTTGAGTAAGGGGTCTTTCTAGCACTAAGAAATTGAAAATGAGATCTGACGCATGTTTTCACTTGTAATTTCTCTCGATCTGGATTGGTGCAAACTGCAAAGGAGAACACTTCAAAGCCTATAATGTATTAATGTTTGGTTATTCTAATAAATTTCTATTATCATTATTTCCATTGTAAGAAAAATGGTTTTCTGACATTTTGTCAAAGTAAAAGATGAGTTTTGGAGTGCTAACGTCATAGCAACATTTGCTGCAATTTACAGCACTTTGAATGGACTCAGTTAGTTTTATGGGTTAGAATTCGACTGATCAAAGAGCTTGAGAACTCAATTAGGAACTCTTTTTTCTCCTGTTCTTGTTCTACTGAGCTTATTAAAAAATACTTTGTTTTAGGGATATTGAGGAAAGTCTTGTTAGTTGGGTTTGTGGGGCTTTTAGCTTGGGCTTACCAGGCAACGAGACCTCCACCGCCAAAGATATGTGGCTGGACAAATGGGCCCCCAATTACAGCACCGAGAGTACACCTTAAGGACGGTAGACATATAGCCTATCAAGAAGTTGGTGTACCAAAAGAAACCGCAAAGCATAAGATTGTGTTTATCCATGGGTTTGATTCATGCAGGCACCATGTTTCAGCATTAGCTGGCCGCCTCTCCCCTGTAATGGCGCTTCTTTATTCTTCTTTTTCTGTCTCCGTTAAAAAATGATTTGAGCTTTTGGCTTATATTTCTATGTACATTAAACAGAAGAACAGGTTTTCTGATTTCTTATTGTGCTTATGGTTTGAGTGAATACTCCCATTTTAAGCACTTCAGTGACTGTCAGTTGGCCTTCCTATTGTTATTCATTTCTTAATGTTTTTTTTTTTTTTAATATATTTTAAGTACTGCAAATTCATTTACAGGATATAATTGAAAGTGAAGGGATCTACATAGTCTCGTTTGATAGGCCTGGTTATGGAGAGAGTGATCCTCACCCTACACGAACGGTCAAGAGCTTGGCTTTGGATATTGAGGAGCTTGCAGATCAGTTGGGTTTAGGACCCAAATTTTATGTCGTTGGATTTTCCATGGGTGGCCAGGTTGTGTGGAGTTGCCTCAAGTATATTCCTCACAGGTTTGTTTCATTTGCATCCCAAATAGATTTGGAAATCAGGATTAATGTGACTGTTTGCTCACTCTTAAATAAATGATTGTTGGTTAAACTTTTGGAAAACTTATTTTGTATTTTCCATATATCTGCTTGAAGTTCTGCTTCTGATTTCGCATAACTCCATCAAATTCTAAAACCAGGTCTTGAATTGGTGTTTTATAAAGCTGATTTTTACTTCTGATTCGACTTTTACTGCCTATCAACACTCTATTTTCACTTATTTATCTTTAAAAATTCTTGTATGAGGCGGCCTAACCATTAGACGGGTCGACCCGTCATACTTTTTTTTTAAACAAATATCACGGCTAGTTTATGATTCTCAATTATTTTCAGCTTCTACTACACCAAACCACTTCCGATAAAGGTAAAAGCTTTCACGAGCTCATCCTGAAGTAACAGCTTGTGCTGCCTATTTTGTTTATTATTATTATTATTATTATTATTATTATTATTATTATTATTATTATTATTATTATTATTATTATTATTATTTGTCTCTTCCTTTGTTTTGAAGCCATAAGTTTCTATTTCCATATTGCAAAGGGTTTACATTGACACTATATATTTGAACAGATTGGCTGGAGCAGCTCTTGTAGCACCTGTGGTCAATTATTGGTGNGAACCAAAAATAAAAAGATGAACAGAATTGATCTTTAGTCGCGGATGGAGAAAAGAGTAGATCAATCAATTATTTATTTTAATTTTTGCCATCAGTATTATATTAGCTCCACCAAATGAGTATCATTAAGATACCTTTTAACATCCATTTGTCCATGATTGATGGATTTATAGCTTTTAACATCTTATTAATTTTTTTTTCCATGATAATCACGCCAGGGAGTGGTAAGACAACAAGGAGAGTTTGAGAGCCTTCATCGTGACTTGATGATTGGGTTTGGAAAATGGGAATTTGATCCAACGGATATCGAGAATCCATTTTCGAACGGTGAAGGTTCAGTTCACTTGTGGCAAGGGGATGAAGATCGTCTTGTCCCAGTGGCCTTACAACGTTACATTGTTGACAAATTGCCTTGGATTCAGTATCACGAGCTGCAGGGCGCGGGACATATGATTTTGCTAGCCGATGGTATATCGGACTCGGTTGTACAAGCACTTGTAACTTGAAAACGAGACGGCCTTTTCTTTTGGCTTTGTACCTTGTTTTGGTGTATTTGCTACTTAATTATTTTTTGGGAAGTTTATTCCCACATTTGCACAATGATATTTGTACTAGATAATGAGTACATCTAGATGATTTAAGTTGAAAAAGATAGTCAGAAGTTTATTTAATTCAAATAATTATATTCTATGTTTATTTTTTAAATAACTAGTGCGTGTGATGGACGAGATGGATAATTTTAAAGCTAGTTATCCAGCTTTATTATTGTATTCGTGAATAAAAAATTAAATAATTGGAATAAAAATTAATATTATATATTATTAAAAATATTCTTGTAGAGAATATTTTTTGTCTTGTAGGCACACCGTATATCCGTGAATAAAGAAATTAAAATAATTAGAAGAAAAAGTTAATATTATATATTATTAAAAAATTTCTTGTAGACAACATTTTTTTGCCTTGTAGGCAAACCATCCTCCATGCATAATTAACAAAACATAAGTATATTGTTAACTAATTTAACGAAAATTATTTAACAGCATTTATATTATAATTAACAAAACATAAATATATTATAAACTAATTTAACAAAAATACCTACCCTTGGTTTTGTTTGGCATAAACAATGAGCAAAATGTGGATGACGATCACTGCCATATTCATTTTCAATTTCCAAAAGTTGATCAACAAAATCACCCTATAGTGTGCAATCAATATTGTTCCTCCTAAACTTTCATTTAAATAAATTATTAAAATGATTTTTAGAATAAACATATAATAAATAAAATAAAAATTGTTATTATCCATCATTGAGGGAAAACACAATCATTTTTGTTGGGACGCTACCAACCTCTTTCATTGCATCGATCCAATTTCAACAATTAGATCAATTATATCTACAATTAAATGGTAAATTAATTATTTTTCAGATATTTTTAAATTATACATGTGAAAAAAATACGACAAATAAATACATAGATTAATATATTACCAAAGAGCACTGTTTGATCTTATCTAAGACCATCAAGTAGAGTAGCAAAGCTTCAGAAATCACCAAAAATTGGGAAAGCCTCCTTTGAAACTAATCAAGTTGGTCATACCGTGGATCAAAATTTTAAATTGTGTAATTGTTAGACGGAATGAGTCGTAGTTGTTCCTCACTTAATACTTTTGAATTCCATAGATTTCTCGCTCTTTGACATTGGACCCTTATGATTTCAGTAATATGACCTCTCTATAATAAATATTTAGAAAACATAAATAAGTATATAATGATTTTAATAATACACAAAATTTAAAAAAGAATAGCAAATTCAAAAAAAGAAAAAAACAATGAAAAAACAAATTCAAAATAAATTTTTTATTCTCACCTCCTCATCATGAAACAAAATTTTCAGGTAATTTTTGTATTGAGCAGCAACTTTGTTTTCAATTATTCGAATTGCTCGCAACTTCATATGTAGTCTCTTGGTTCTAGTGACTTTCTTGATCAAACTCAGATAAAATCGGATATTTGAATATTAAAATGAAATCAAACGAAGGATGACTACAAATAATCGAAAAAAATTGAATTTATAAGGAAATAACAAATTATAATTTAGTTAAATACAATAAGTATTTGATATGAAAAGTATATAAAAAATGCAATAAATCAATTTAAAAATTGTACAAATCCTTTAGTGCACGATTGTGTAATGAAAATTATACTTTCTTTAATACATCATTTTTGTACTATAAAAACTTTACTTTGTTTGGCAATTATATTTTTGGTTAATAAAAATGATGTTAATAAAAACTTTACTATAAAAACTTTACTTTCTTTAATACATCATTTTTGGTTAATAAAAACTTTACTTTCGTTAATAAAAATTTTATTTAATTTAAATATGGTATAATTTTTTTGATTTGGACGAAATTCAATTTAGAATATTATTTTATTGATCAATTGGGATGTTACTAAATCCTATTGAAATATTACTTCTTGATCAATTATGCTATGAGTTGATTGATTGTTACCGTACGATTTGGAATCTCAATTTTTGTTTTTTCTTATGGTTGTTAAGTTGTTGAATGATATTGTGTAATTTAAATAGATTGATCGATTAATTACATAAATATATATATACCAAATAATTTGATATGTTCCAACCACATTTACAAAGAAGTATCGACCATAGCATTCTCCTGATTTTTCTTTCATTAATATCGAGAAATATGCTTAGCAATATGAAAAAAAAATATTGAGATACCATTTTTTTTTTTTACCATAAACGGGTATATTGGATCAATATATAGTATACAAAATAGTTTGATTTCATACTATCGGTAAAATACAAAAAATGACATTCAGTTTTACCATAAACTTAAATGGCGCAATTAAACCAGGAACAAAAATCAGTTGATGATTTATTTAAAGAAAAAAATAGAGAAAACTAAATTTATTTAAAGAGCGAGTTTATTATATTGTTGATGATTTCAATAATCTTCTATTTATAAGAAACTTGTGAGACTAATAGAAAAAAAATATTATTTATGACATTATATTACATAATATTTTACATAATATTAAATATATAATTATTACACTTATGCTAAGTAATTTTAACATAAATAAGATGATATATGAATGTCTTTATAAATAATTTGATAAATCAACAACTAATTAAAAAAAACTAATTTTACCAAATACTATTTTATAACCCAGTAATATAATCAGCTGATCAAAATCACTAATATATAGGCAAAACAACTGAGACAATCCGCTAACAGCTAACATGATTGCCAAACAAGACTATTATCAATATAATTAAATATTATCAATCAATAATCCTCACATATCATATCAACTTTAATTCATTATTTATCTACTCACATACTTTTAACTACCTATCATTTTCAATCAACATTTCTCCTACTTTTACCTCACATCAACTTTAATCATTATATTTTTTATATTATTTGAAAATAAACTCAAAATCTCACTCAATCCTCCACTAAATAAACTTTATTTAAAATTAATTTACCTTAACTCAATATTCAATCAAAATCAATTTTGATGCCCTTTAGTATCATTTTTCTTCCATATATAAAGGCCCCTTTAGTAGCATCTCAACTAGACATTGTTGACTTCCAACTACATAAAAAATATATATTTTTGTGCATGAATTTAATTCCCACCTATCACAAACTTTTTTTAGTATAATTTTGCAAAAGGTCATTCTCCAATACCAACTTCCCATGTAATTCCTACCTATTTTACTATAATATAATTTAGCAAAATGTCATTCTCCAATACCAATTCGCCATGTAATTATACAATCATTGGCTAACCATAGCGTTCTATTTCAGCTAATGAGCTAATCTTGACAGAGCCAAGCCGCTTACACCGCTGAGTGTGTGTTATTTTTGTAGCCTTCGAACTTGGAGAATCCTCTTCCAGAGGTATCTGTTTCTGTAATGGCGGCTGGGCCGTCCCGGAAAATATCCGCCGCCTCTGCCAGGGCTCACACCCGCAGACCCAAGGCCAAGACTGCTTCCAAATTCTCAGGTGGGCTCGCCTCCATATTTCCTCTTTTCCCCTTTAATCAATTTTAGTACAATTCGATTTTGTTGTTTAGATGAAGTGTCTGTTTTTTCACATCGGAGTGAAGATCTAATGATTGGATGTTGCCCGATATCTGAGAATGATTATGGTCGGTATAAAGTGGCTACCTTGATTTGGTTTGTGTGTAGTGGATAGGTGAATTAGAGACTAAAAATGCATGAGCTGGTTCTAAGTGTTAGTTTCGAATTTGAGGTGATATCTTTCTCGTTCTGCTGGAAATAGAAACCACTGATGTGATGTCTTTTTGTTTGACTTCCTTTTTTTGGTTTTTGTTAGAAAGAAAAGACCTGGTAAGCTTTCCAGATTGTGGGATTTATTTCATTTTCAAAATGGTTCGAAGTGTGACTCGAAGTAACTGATCTAAGTGTCGGTGAATAGTTCAATTCTTGACAGGCAACTGGAAGTTTGGGGGAAAATGTTTTTGTATATCAGTAAGAAAATGAAAACGAGGTCTGAAGTTCTGTTTTTGAGTATTCCACTTGATCTGGATTGATCCAAACTGCAAAGGATGACATTAATTTAGAGCCCATCATGTATTTATGTTGTCTGATTCTAATGCCATTTCCAGGGTCTGGAAAAATTATTTCGAGAAAATAATTTATTATGATAAAAATGTTTCAGGGATATTCAAGAAAATATTGGTTGTTGTATTTGTGGGGCTTTTAGCTTTGGCGTATCAGGCAATAAGGCCTCCATCTCCAAAGATGTGTGGCTCAGCAAACGGGCCCCCAGTTACAGCTTCGAGAGTACAGCTTAGAGATGGTAGATACTTGGCTTATCAAGAATTCGGTGTACCAAAAGAAATCGCAAAGCACAAGATAGTTTTTATCCATGGGTTTCGTTCTTGCAGGCACGATGTTTCTACATTAACTGCCTACCTTTCCCCGGTAATGATTCTTATATTTTCTATGTTTTGCTTGGAGCTATTTGCAAACAATGAGA